ATTTATGCTACTAGTTTTAATCATCCTGTACCCCCAAAACTCTCTGCCCTGGACAAGTGAGACAATAAAATAGGAAAAGATTCTAGAGTGGAAGGATGTCTATCATCATCAGTGGGGTGCAGCTACAGGACAAACCACTATTAGAAAGGTTAGGATGGTCTGTAAAATTCAGCAGCTCCCTCAGTGGCCAGTCTTATAAATTATTTCTTTTGCTTTGGGTCCCTCCAGGGGCGGACTGACCATTTGGAAACTCGGACACTGCCGAGGGCCTGGGGTCAGTAGGGGGCCCTATGAGATGCCCCTGGTACCTTTTTCATAGGCTTTTTTGAGTTTGGGCAAGGACACAGGGGCCCCATGATCCCCTATTGCCCGGGGGCCCCATGAGTTGTCAGTCCGCCCCTGGGTCCCTCTGAATGGTTGGGGGGTGGGAGCCAGAATTCAGAGTTGAGCTTTTATGGAACTTATTACATCTAGCAATTTCTCTGCACAACATTTAAGCCATATAGTAAAGTCTCCCATCAATTCATTATAAATGCAACCATTCGTGATAACAGGGAATGGGGATGGGGAGAATTATACCGGAACAATAAGTCATTTAAGGGTAAAATACCTTTTCTCATCAGTGCATTTAGGCCAACTTTCCACTGCTTTTTCTTAACTCTGAATAAACAGCCCACATTCTTCCTTTAACAATAACATATTTCCCCTTTAAAATGAATATATCATTGTATGACATGCACAGTACTGACCTTTATTTTTAATTGAATCTCCATGGAATAGACTTAACTCGAGCCTCCAATGGGATGCTGGGAGATAAGAGACTGGGCTGCACATGTGAAATATAAGCACTGGAATTCATAATGAGGTGATAAGGGTTTGTTTTCATGGCAAATAAACTTACACAAGATAAGTTTAAATCCTGTGAAAACATAATCTCATTGCAGGTAGAATGTGTGATAAGAACACTGATAAATTTGCTTAACAAATTATTAGGAGTGTTGTGACATTGTGAAGTTTAATAAAGTTCTCGCTGAAGCCAAGAAATTGACATTGTGATGAAATGCATTCAAGAGAGTAGAAAAAAAACATAAAATTAGTCAATTTATCACAGAAAGAGTCAGGAAGCCAAAGGTGACCATAAATATTAGGGGATGCTTGGATGTGCTGGACAACCTTGTCATCTTGTAGCGGATGCTCACTTGAAAGCCAAGGTACCAAAGGAGCAATCTGATGTAACTGTTTCCTTTACAAGAGCTGTTATCCAGTGAACCGGTAAATACAGTAACAGTAGAATGTTTTTCCACTTCAGTACTTGGCAATGGGGAACAATTAGCTACTGGCATGAGTATAGAACAAGGTACAGTTCTTTCATGAGACTGTATGAAGCATGCCTTCCTTAAACTCTTGAAAAACTGGTTCTACACGTGTTGAGGTAAACCCATAGAATACTGGATCACTCAACCGAACGGGCAAATTAAAGAATACTCTTGTTCTGGAAAATTAGGCAGAACCCAACACAAATACCACGGGGTCTTCCTCAATCTCCATCCTGCCCCAGACTTGAATGGTGAGACCTTACTTTCACTAACCAACAGTTATTTGTCTGTTCCTACATTGACACAGATGGTGTCAAATTATTCCATGTGGCTTTATCCGTGCGGGAGTTTGATAACAATGTGCACTCACCAGATGCACATAATTAAAGCACAATGTGTTGAACGGTGCATTAACCAAGAATCAGCAGGAAGCCCCCTTTAAATGGACCAGACAGACAGCATGTGAAAAGGATCCCTTCTCTGGATATGAGACTCCTCTGCATGGAGGTCACGAGGGGCATCAGCGTCCAATTGGACATCTGTTTCCCAGGTGAATGCAAGAAATCATAGAGAAACCAAGTTACTCATAACTTCCTTCCTCTTCTGAGTTTCGACTTCGGCTGAGCACCCCCTACAGTGGGAAGTGCACACTGCACCTGCCAACAAGCTAATTACTGATATAGAGATTATTAAACATCCAACACTATCCTTCTTTGATTATAACACCCCACCAAGTCACTTTAACAGTCCTTCCCCTGAAGTACATACATAAATAAATCAATCTTTAAGTTGACAAAGTCCGGATGTGACGAAACACGTCCGGGGCACGTGACGTGGTGACGTAGTGACGCTCTTCCGGAAGTGCTGTGGTGGCCATTTTTGTTCCTGGAACACGCGGCTGTGTCTGTCCTGGAATCCTCCATACAGGGGTATGATTATTGGGGAACCTACCACCGATTCTCTATTCCTCCTCTGGAGTGGTATGGTGAGGATACTTAAACACTACTGAGGAGAGGCTCGAGTGTGGAATCAATTTCTCTTGGTGTGGAAGCTGATCTCATCTTATTTTAATGTAAGTTGCTATAATAAAGTACTATGATTATATTTATCATATACACTGATCCCTGGTCTGTTTATGAGGTCTGTGGGAAGTGGCTGGAAAGGCTGAAGGAAAAAGGTGGAAACAATCTCATCTATGCTTGTGTTATTACCTTGAGGGTAAATATGCACTTCTGTTATTTTTGTGCAGTGGATTAACATTTAAGGCAGAGGAATTTTGTTTCACAGTTGCTGTGGCACGGGAGTTTTTTGCATGTAACACGTGTGGCACTTTTATGTTAATATTTGGATAAAACACTATGTTGAGTTTTTTTTTCTTTGAGGTATATGAAGATTTGTTTTTTGGATTATATCAAAAAGGCGGTTTGGAGACACGAAGATTTGAGAAAGTACCGACAAAGATAAATTTATATTTTTTGGGGGATTTTATTTGGACTTTGATTTTTTGGACTCTTATTTTGGGACTTTATACACTAATATTTAGGTTTATTGTAATCAAGTTTGCTTAAAGATTGATTTATTTACTGATATAGAGATATTGGGTGCAAGGTTTCTCAGAAGCTTCCTGTCTGGTACTGTAGGACAAGCTAGCATGTGGTACTCAATTCACAAAACCCTAGCACAAGGATAAGAATATTTATTTTAACCACTTGACTTTTTAAATGTCACTGGACTGAACATATCTTTCTGGAAAACAAGGATTCTTATCCTGATGTGTTAGATTTGGAAATTGAGCCTATAGCCAGCCAGAAGTGGGCAAAACTTGAAAAGGAAGGGACACTGGTAGAAATAAAAAGTACATGAGGTGCTCTGAAACTTTTCATCTCAAGTGGGTACCCGAGGGTGTCCTGGAGCTTTTAAAAACCTTAGCAATGCAATTTTCCACATTGTGCTTTGTACAAAAAGTATCGCTAAATTTCCACTGCCTCTTGTTGGTGACAAGCATGGCAATAGATACAGGCTGGATGTCAGGATATTCCTGATTTAGGTGTCTACTGTGCCACCTCTCCACTATTTTTACCTCTGTGAGCCGTGTTATTCTCAGCTGGAAACAGTGCAGGACGAAGGATGAAAGGAGGCAGAAGGTAATGTCACTCATAACCCTTGGACGCCTCTTTAATCTGCCCTCATCCTTCCTCTTTCTGCAGAGGGAAGTGAGTTGACAAGACAAAGATGAAAGCAGATGGGTGCTATAGGTTTGTCAGGCTGTGGTGGTTGCTCAACGTAACATTTGATTTTCCGGATCAGGTGCAAGATGTTGCTGTGGAAGAAAAAAGAAATGAAAGGGTTGTATCATTCATAAAGCATCATAAAGTTTGTTGAATAAATACCATACCATACTCAAATACACAGATAAAATACTTGCATTGAAATACAGTAGTTTTAATTGCTTAAAGTGGTTGTAAATCCTTACATATTCCCAGTAAAGTGAAGAGATGAAGCAAATCCTCCTATATAAGTTATACCTGTTTATCTATAGCCGTCTGTCCCTTACATCCATTCAAAGTGCAGAATTTACACAGGATCTCTCAGCTCTGAAAAGCAGGGGGCGGGGAGCTGAAGTTTCATCAGTGAGGAGAGCTCTAAGAGCTGATTGGAGAAAAAAGACACACCCCCCTTCATACAGCACACAGGAACAGAGATGAGGCTGTCAGTCACAAACAGTCCCCTCCCCTGTCACCATTTCAAAAACAAATACAAAGGAATAGTAGTAGTAAAAAAGCACTTGTGGGTTTAAGAGGATTCCCCCCCCCCCCCCCCCCTGACCAGGCCATTTTTTGCATTACAGCGCTGCGTTACTTTAACTGACAATTGCGCAGTCATGCAACACTGCACCCAAATTAAATGTACGTCCTTTTTTTCCCACGAATTGAGCTTTCTTTTGGTGGTATTTGATCGCCTCTGTGTTTTTTTATTTTTTGTGCTGTAAGAAAAAAAAAAAGACAGACAAGTATGAGAAAAAAAGCAATATTTTTGCAATATTTTTATATTAAACATGTCCAGTAAAAAAATTAAAAAAATTAAATGTCATAAATTTATACCAAAATGTATTCTGCTCCATGTCTTTGCCAAAAAACATCCCAATACATGTAAATTAATTGGTTTACGTGAAAGTTATAGCGTTTACAAATGGTGGTATATATACTGGGATTTTTTTTTTTTTTTACTAGTAATGGCGGCGACCAGTGACTTATAGTGAGACTGTGAGACTGCGGCAGGCATTCTGACGCTGGAGGGAACTGACTTGGTGTCACTGACATCCCCAGATATAGTGAATGCAGGGTCCGGGGAGACCAGATATAGTGAATGCAGGGTCTGGGGAGACCAGATATAGTGAATGCAGGGTCTGGGGAGACCAGATATAGTGAATGCAGGGTCCGAGGAGACCAGATATAGTGAATGCAGGGTCCGGGGAGACCGGATATAGTGAATGCAGGGTCCGGGGAGACCAGATATAGTGAATGCAGGGTCCGGGGAGACCGGATATAGTGAATGCAGGGTCTGGGGAGACCGGATATAGTGAATGCAGGGTCCTGGAAGACCGGATATAGTGAATGCAGAGTCCAGGGAGACTCGATATAGTGAATGCAGGGTCCGGGGGGACTCGATATAGTGAATGCAGAGTCCGGGGAGACCAGATATAGTGAATGCAGGGTCCGAGGAGACCGGATATAGTGAATGCAGGGTCTGGGGAGACCGGATATAGTGAATGCAGGGTCCGGGGAGACCGGATATAGTGAATGCAGGGTCTGGGGAGACCGGATATAGTGAATGCAGGGTCCTGGGAGACCGGATATAGTGAATGCAGGGTCTGGGGGAGAACGGATATAGTGAATGCAGGGTCTGGGGAGATCAGATATAGTGAATGCAGGGTCCGGGGAGACCGGATATAGTGAATGCAGGGTCTGGGGAGACCAGATATAGTGAATGCAGGGTCCTGGAAGACTGGATATAGTGAATGCAGAGTCCGGGGAGACCAGATATAGTGAATGCAGGGTCCGGGGAGAGCGGATATAGTGAATACGGGGTCTGGGGAGACCAGATATAGTGAATACGGGGTCTGGGAGACTGGATATAGTGAATGCAGGGTCCGGGGAGACCGGATATAGTGAATGCAGAGTCCTGGGAGACTGGATATAGTGAATGCAGGGTCCGGGGAGACCAGATATAGTGAATGCAGGGTCCGGGGAGAGCAGATATAGTGAATGCAGGGTCCGGGGAGACCAGATATAGTGAATGCAGGGTCCGGGGAGACCAGATATAGTGAATGCAGGGTCCGGGGAGACCAGATATCGTGAATGCAGGGTCCGGGGAGACCAGATATCGTGAATGCAGGGTCCGGGGAGACCAGATATCGTGAATGCAGGGTCCTAGGAGACCAGATATAGTGAATGCAGGGTCCGGGGAGACCAGATATAGTGAATTCAGGGTCCAGGGAGACCAGATATAGTGAATGCAGGGTCCGGGGAGACCAGATATAGTGAATGCAGGGTCCAGGGAGACCAGATATAGTGAATGCAGGGTCCTGGGTTTAGTAACACTTTAAGTACCTAAACAAGAACCTTCAAGGTGCATCACTAGGTACTATTTTAATGAAATCTGCAGATTAAAGTATAACCAAAGGCATTTGTTTTTCTTTTTACGTTGTGGACAGAGTGCAGGAGGATTAGAGCACATGTGAGGTTTTTATTGCTTTCTATGTCCCAATTTGGGAGACTTACCCTCTCGATTTGCCCTGTTTACCATTGTCACCAAAAGTGAAAGAAAACCCCAAATTTCCTGTCTCATCCTGTTTGGCTGAAGGGGTTATCACGCTCTTTAATTTTAACCAAAGCAAAAAAAAAGTTATGCATTGAGTTCCACTTTTAGAGTGATTGAAAGCAGCTTTTGAAATGACATTATCATGTTAAAGCTTATACAAAAATGTAATGATTGGGTTTGGATCTGTAATAGTTTATCTCTTACAAAGATCTACATGCGATGGCATGCAATGTGTTTAGAAATAGCCCTTTTATCTCCCTTACTTTCTTTTAACTGGAGCCCAATCTCACCATGGAGGTGCTGTAAAACAGTGGTGGTTAATGACTGATTTCCCCAGACAGTCCTCAGGGTTTCCATTTCTGGCATTCGCCGTTTAATTATAAAAGGACTCTGGAAACTGTTGGGTTAAAATGGCCATCCAAAGCCTTCGGTTTTATGTGGTGTGTCGTGCGCAAAAGCCACAATGTCTTATGGAACATAATCGCAGACATCAGCGCAGAAAGGAGAGGAGAACATGGATGTAGCAATTTGAAATTTCTTTTCAGCTCTGACAGACAGCAATTTTGCTGAAAGGCACAAAGCTTTTATCTCTCCCATACATCTTTTGTCCACCTTTTTTTTGGTGGCAAACAAGAGAGAAATAAGAAGTGATAATGGGTCGTGGAAAATGGTTTGACACCAAAGAACATTTCATAACATGTGCAGACAGCCAAATTGCCTGACCCGCTTTCCACTCCTGCCTCCACCAACCATACATTGACTTTTCATTTGGGAGGGAATGGTGAAACACAGTAATAAGACGGCACTATGGCTTTTGAGATGTGAAAAATAGGAAGGAATATATTATAAAATCAGGACTAGATAAAAACAACATCCACGTGAGCAAGGCAGAAAGAACCCACACTTATTACTGGGCAACATACCAAAGTTATTCATTTGCCCGGGGGTAGTGTGCATGAATAAAGACTGGCCAGGTCAAGGAGGTGGCTACTGATGCCATTGCCTTAGGCCAGGGGTCTGCAACCTTTAAGGCATAAAGAGCCACTTGGACCCGTTTCCGAGAGGGAAAAAAAGACTGGGAGCCGCAAAACCATTGCAACATTTAAAACAAATCCGACACTGCATATATTGCAAAAAGCGCTCTGGTCATGAAGGGGGTTTAAGGGCCCAGTAAGCAAAGGGTTAATCAAGGCCACAGTGTATCGTCATAATCACAATCATAGCCTTAGGTCAGTGGTGGGCAACCTTTTTTTTCAACTGAGCCAAATCTCGCCAAAACCACGATTGAAATTTATTTTGAGAGCCACATTTTTAAAACTGAAAATACATCCCCCATATAGTAATTCATCCCCCATAGTAATTCATCCCCCATATAGTAATTCATCCCCCATAGTAATTCATCCCCCATATAGTAATTCATCCCCCATAGTAATTCATCCCCCATATAGTAATTCATCCCCCATAGTAATTCATCCCCCATATAGTAATTCATCCCCCATAGTAATTCATCCCCCATAGTAATTCATCCCCCATAGTAATTCATAGTGTGCTCCGGAGCCGCAGCAAAGGTGAAAAAGAGCCACATGCGGCTCTGGAGCCGCAGGTTGCCAACACCCGCCTTAGGCCAAATCTAGGAAAATCCATATTTAACATAACAAAGTGTATTTATAATAGGTCAGCTAATATGGGATGCTAAAAATATTTAGGTAGCTATTAATAATTGCTAATGCTTCTCATGAGTGTAACTGATACTCAGACAAGTGTAACAGATACTGAGACAAACTATAGTTTTATTGAGAACCAAAATCATCTTCAGGTCAAATGTATGCATTACATATCATTTTTTTGTAGCTCTAATTCCTGTAAGAACTGCTGGTTGGTCTTCCTGCCATCCCTCAGTGGTGACCTGCCATCAACCCAACACTTACCGACACACCAGTAGCGTTAAAATGGGCTTTATTTGAAAAAGAAAACCCTGCAAAGGAAGGTTTGTTAACATAGTGTGATTAACATAATATCAGCCACTAATTACAAACAGGGTTAAGACCGTGTTTAAGAAAATAATAAGACCTATCTGTAGTTCTGAGACCTTAGCTACACCACTGGCCAGTGGAGGATGAGATATACTGTCTGCCAACGGTAGGGCCCATAACACTTGTTGGATTGCTCACTCTCAGTGTGAGAGGAGAGTATTTGTAGTCCACTGGACTGTCCCTATGTCCAATTTTAAGAGCATTCTCCCCAGTGACCTTCAATGTACCACGAGTTTGACTACACCACTGGCCAGTGGAGGATGAGATATACCGTCTGCTGGTGATGGGACCAATAACACTTGTGGGATTGCTCAATCTCAGTGTGAGAGTACTTGTAATCCAAGGGACTGTCCCTATATTCTATTTAAGGAGCATTCTCCCCAGTGATCTTCACACTAATAAACCAGCAAACACAAATGCTCCTGCGCTTGGGGATGGACTCGATGCAGGCTGCAACCACATTAAGAATGTCCTGGAACATGCACACCTTGCTGCCCTCAACAGACCAGGGGAATCCAAATATACTGAATGAGGAAAGAACAGGCCTAGAGCATTACCATAAAAAATGTTTAACCACTTCCAGACCGGACACTTTTACCCCCTTCCTGTCCAGGGCAATTTTCAGCTTTCAGCGCTATCACACTTTGAATGACAATTGCGCGGTCATGCAACACTGTACCCAAATTAATTTTTTACCATTTTTTTGAGACAGATAAAGCTTTATTTTGGTGGTATTTATTCACTGCTGCATTTTTATTTTTTTTGCTATGTAAATGAAAAAGTCCAAAAGTTTTGAACAAAAGTGTTTTTTTTATAAAATTTTGCAAATAAATAATATTTCATCATAAATCTTTGCCAAAATGTATTCCGTTATCTTTTTAGTAAAAAAAAAAAAATTAGTTTATAACCAAAAATTATAATTTTTAAACATTTTTTTTTACATTTTTATTTTATTTTTTTTATATTATTATTTTTTATTTTTTATTTTTTTTTTTTTACATACTGTCACCCTAGCAGTACACTGTCACCATGGTGACACTGTACTACTTGTGGGGGGTGATGAAGATTTTTTTTTTTTTTTTTTTTTACAATGATTGCTTTTACACCCATATAGGATGTAAAAGCAATCATTTCTCTTTCTCTCTGTGTGCATTCCTGCACTCATTGAGAAGTACTGAGTGAGCTGTGATTGGTCACAGCTTGTCACATGGTACAAGGCTGTTGTGAATAGCCTTGTACCATGCTTACTACTTTTCATGTGATCACTGATTGGCCAATCAGTGATCACATGATCGGGACCTCGTACAGAGGTCCCGTCCGACGATCGGTGTTTCACTGTGTCCAGAGGACACAGCAGGCACCGGATCGCGGTGCTGCGCGCTCCCAGGGAGCGCATACAAGCAGGGTGCGGGGAGGCCGTTCATAAACGGCCACCCGACCCTGTACTGCCACCGTCCGGCCGTTTATATGCAACGGCCGGTCGGGAAGTGGTTAATAAGAAATAAAATAGGTGTTGTACTCACAAACAACAATAAAGTCAAGGCACATCATAAAAGAACAGCTGGGTCAACACCACGCTGAGTAACAGTCCGTAATGGGGAATGTAGACATCCAATAGACTGACGCGTTTCGAGGACTTGCCTCTTCCTCAGAGCCTGCCTTGACTTTATTGTCGTTTGTGAGTACAACACCTATTTTATTTCTTATTAAACATTTTTTATGGTAATGCACTAGGCCTGTGCGCCCTCTCTTTGTTCTTTCATCGTCACACTAATGTACCAGGAGCTTGACTACACCACTGGCCAGTGGAGGGTAAGATATACCGTCTGCTGGCAGTAGGGCCCATAACACTTGTTACATTGCTCACTCTCAGTGCAAAAGTATTTGTAAGCCAAGGGACTGTCCGTATATTCAATTTAAGGAGCAGTCTCCCCAGTGACCTTCACACTAATGTACCAGAAGCTTGACTACACCACTGGCCAGTGGAGGATGAGATATACTGTCTTCTGGTGGTGGGACCAATAACACTTGAGGGATTGCTCACTCTCAGTGTGAGAGTATTTGCAATCCAGGGGATTGTCACAAAGCATTCTGGGCAGATTTTCCTAATTGCAGGAAGGTCCCAAGGCAGCCAGAAAACCTAGCATAAGTAAAAGGTAGCCATATGGCCTCCCACTACTGATGCTGTGTTGGTGTCAGCAGTCCTTTCCTGGGAGGCATTTTTGGGCTCTCAGCTTTGGTTGCAAAAAAAAATGTACAGCAGCTCTGTTTTGTCTCCAGCAAAGTCTGCTCTGCACAGCACATTGATACCTCATAAAAGAGCCGGCTCACATCTCTCTCATGGATGGGGCTAACATCCGGCCTTGGATAGTCATCCTGTCCCAGTCTTCCTCTAGGTTCTAAGCTGTGCATTCTCTGTTGAGCCCTATAGAGAGATCCTACTTTGTGTTTAAACACTTACGTAAATTTATGGATGGC